AATGTTGCTCCATTCCTCTTCCACTGATTATCCGACCCATTTGTGCGTAGCCGTAGACCATAAACTGAACATTCGCGAAACTTGTTGTGTGTTTCTTGTCTCCCAGAACAGGTTCCGCACATCGTTAGTAGTAATTGCGTGATTTAGTGTACCGTATCATTTAGCGTGAACAATTACGACAAAAGGCGTTGAAGAGGTATATGGCGCGAATTGTTGTCGTGGTGAAGAGTTTTCGAGGAGGTATCTTCGGTTCAATGTGCCTTGGTTGTCGATTGTTCATTTGCCAGCCCATCAGCGAAGAACCTCGTCTCAAGGTGAATTTGCATTCCGGTTACAGCTATTTTGACTTTTCTGCATAGCCCTACAACCCAGAAAGACAGGGCATGTGCTGCGAAAGCATAGAAAAGGCAAAAATTATGTGAAAAGATGAAATTTCTCAAAGGGAGCCTCCCCCTGCGCTCCATAGGAATCTGAGGCAGCGTCTAGACTTCGCGTCGCGACTGACACGCATCGACTGCTACATTGCAACAACTCTCCACTGCTAGACGGGAATGTAGCCAGAGACGGATGTTGCGTAGCGCGTCGTAAGGCGCCCACGCGCGTCACCGCTGTATCTGAACGCTGGGCACTAGCAGCCCTATATACCAGAATGCGTAACACAGACAACAGAACTTATTCTGGAAGTTATCCAAATGGCGGAAAGGAAAGCGTCTAAGAGCTTGTTGACATTTTTTGAGGGCAAGATTTGTGAGCTATACTGGGATATTTTGAGTGGGTTTTTGCAGCCGGTACGTTGTTTCATAAAGAGTGAGGTTTGAGCCTTGATCGATCGATTTTTTGAGTTGTAGCTTGTTCTTCTATTCAGAATCGTGATGTGGCTTATACAATGACATTAGGGGGAGAGCCGATGTGAAAGTCGGTGTTCCTATCCTTTAGGGTGTACAAGGCTTGGTTGGCCTCAGCGGGAGGCGATCCGGTTGAGCGCGCGCGTGTTGAGGAGGTCACTTGGCACTGGACCACCACTATCCGGTTCTTTAACAGCTTGATCTACTCTTTTTCAAGGTATCTGTAAATGAAGAGTACGTAGTCACACGAGGTCAACGCGGATGGCTCTACGGCTATAAGGTGGACAATGAAAAGCTCAAAGGATGGTTCCCGCGAATGTGCATTCCGATTCACTGACAAATATCCATTCCAAAAGAAGTCAAAGGATACATCTGATTCGTCTAGCAGCTCAAAATCGTGATTGTTTTGTAAGTTATTTCTGTCATATTGATGTCCCCAGATTCCTTCAATCTCTCTATCGACGGCGGTTCAATTCTAGTAATAAGTTGAGTCTAAATTCACTTATGTATAGTTAACTTTGTGTGACTGTGTTATTTGCTGCTGCTGGTCCATTATCCGTTGCCAAAAGCATACTTATTTATGTGG